CCCAACTAGCGCCCAGCCGCTCGGCCTCCGGCTGCACACTCACCCCTTCCAAGATCCCGCCGTCGACCTCCACCCGCTGCCCCGCCATGGGGGGCGCCCTGGGACCTGGCCCGCTGCGACAACGCCTTTGCTGCAGAAAGAATAAACGCCCCGCAGCTCTGAAACTTCGATCCACGCCTGGGGTTGCCGAGTTCTCCGCGAAAGCGGAAGAAGCGGAACCTCCGGGAAACTCGATCCGCTGGAATGAATCCGGGGTTGGCCCAGTCCGGCCTCTGCGCATGCGTAGCGCAAAGCGGCAGGCGGTTCCGGGAATATTCCTTCCCCTCCGGGACCCTTAGCTGTCCGGGAGGAGGGGGGCAGCTGCCAGGTACCTAAGAGTGCTGTAGTTAAGTGTGGACTTGGGAAGACTTGTGCCCTAAACACAGTAAAACCTGCAGGTTGTGGAAAATCTCCTTTCCCACTTTTAACCAAATCCTCCAGTTGTTCCGCAGGCTTGTGCTTCATCTGTTTTCTTGATAAATATGTGTTTATCTGTTAAGGATCTTGGCATACCCAGTGCTGCAGATACTTAGAGCAGAAGATTAAGAAAAATCATAACCCTACAATGTACTAATCACCTTCTCTCTGGACGGATTTGCCTTCTCTGCAACCTCTCTAAGTTTGTGTGCCTTGGTGCACTAATTGAAACCAATGAGCTTCTCATTTCTTGTGGGGTGTGTGTACAGTACTATCTTCTCCCCCGCTCCCCATGAGACACTATGTGGGGAGAAAGGGATAGAACCACTAATGAAACACTCTGAAGGTCAAAGCTATGCCACCTTGTCTGAGAGTAGGTGAAAGCTCTTGCCTTCAATGAACAGTGCAGTGAAACATAATACAACATAATACAATGTAGGCTACAGCAGAAACAACAGCCAGCTTCTTGGTTCTGCTGTAGCCCAATTCCCACATTAATTTAGGACCCAATAATATGTAAGCCTGTAGGTGTGCAAAGAAGAGGTAGAACAGTTAATGCCCCCAAAGCTATTGGAGATATAATGGACAGACTGAGAAGTAATCAATTACAATGCCATCTATAAAAATAATTAAGGGCTGAGGATGCATCTCAATGGTAGAGCATTTGCCTATGAGGCCTTGGGTTCAACATCATCATCATCTTCAATGTACATGGGGACAGTAATTACAATATGATAAACTAGAACAATAACAGCCAGTGTTCATTGAGCATTGCACTGTTCCTCCCATTCTTTCACAGTTTGATAAAGTTCTTACTGTTTTATAGCATCCTATGTTAATCAAGTCTGTAAAATAGTAATCAGGGAAAGTAATCATATCTGCATTTAGAATGATAGCTTTGACAGTATTAGGAGGGTTAGTTACAGGCCTAAGAACCTGAAAGCAGAAATGCCTTTTCTCTTGCCTAAGGCAAGAGAGAATGAAAAGTTGAAGCAAGGCAGTGGCAGCAGGGATAGAATAAAAAAGCTATGCTTGTAACTATAGTATATATATATGTGTGTGTGTGTGTACTGGATTATGAACCCACTGAGCTACCACTGAGCTACATCCCCAGCCCTCCTCCTCTTTTTGAGACAGATTCTCAATAAATTTCTTAGGCTGGCCTTGAAGTCACAATCCTCCTGCCTCAGCCTCCCTAGTTACTAGGATTAGGGGCGTGCACTACCATACCTAGTACTATCTGACATCTTAGATTCCTATAAGAGAAACTCAACCTCCTCAGAAGAAGGTTTGCCCTTGCTTTGATTGGTTTATTGATTGATTGCAGTGTGGAGATCAAATCAAGAGGATTTTGCAAATCCTAGGCATACCCTCTGCTATTGAGCTGTACTTTGAACCCTGGCTTGTTTACAGTATTGAGGGTTGAACCCAGGGACTCGTGCATGCTAAGCAAATGCTCTACCACTAAGCTGCATCCCCAGTCCTTTCTTTAAATTTTGAGACAGGGTCTCACAAAGTCACCCAGACTTAAGCTTGCAATGCTACTGTATCAGTTTCCCAAGTAACTGGGTTACAGTTATGTGCCCCCATGCCTGGCTCTGGATTGTCCTTTTAATTTCTAATTCTCACTCCTGGATCTGACCCATTTGCCCCATTACAGTTACTTCCAGTGTAGAGGGAAGTGAACAAAAGATGGTATATGACATAGAAACTACCCAGGTATTACGGTTTGGATACGAAATGTACCCCAAAGGCCATGTGCTAAAGACTTGGTCTCCAGCTGGTGATTGTGTAAATAACATGGGGACATGACTGAAGAGTTTATTTTGTCCCTGGATCCTTCAGGGTTTGGATATGAAATGTACCCGAAAGGCCATGTGCTAAAGACTTGGTTCCCAGCTGGTGATTTTGTAGATAACATGGGGACAAGACTGAAGAGTTTATTTTGTCCCTGTATCCTTCCTTTCTCTCTTGCTCCTTCCTAGCCACCATGAGATGAGCAGCTTTGCCTATCACACTCTACCCACCATGATGTTCTGCCTCATCATGAGCCCACAGCCATGTGGCCCAGCAAGTATGGAATAAAACCTATGAAACTGGGATCCAAAATAAATCTTTCTTTCTTTAGGTCGTTTTTCTCAGGTATTTCATCACAGTGACAGCAAGTTGACTAATACGCCAATCGAGAGTAGATAATAATAATCATTTGTATAGCGCTATATTCATGTTTACAACAAAACTGTAGAGTTAGTGTTTTTGTCGTTATTTAGCCAATGATGGACCAAGGCCTAGAGAACTGAAGTACCATACTAAAATGATGTAACAGAAAAGTGGCAAAGCTGCATTAAATTCTGTATCTTTTAAATTATCTACAGGAAAAGGACAGTTAAGCTGATACCAGATTTCTCAACAGAACACTGTCCAAAGACAGTGGATTCATATCTTCAGAATCATGACAGTCATTTTCAACCTGGAATTGGTACTTAGCAAAATTATCTCTCAAAAATGGGGGTAAAGTATAGAAATAAGATAATTTCTAGATACCTAGAAATTGAATTTAACATCTACATAGACTGTCTAAAGGAATTTTTAAAGGATATTTGCACTTCAGAATGGAAATTATTTCAAAAGGGAAGTCTGATTTATAAGAAAAAATGATGAGCTAAGAAACTGTAATTATGTAGGTAAACCTAAGTAAACATTAGCCAGTACACACCTGTAATCCCAGTGATATAGCACAAGAAAAACTGGTAAATCTACTAACATGTTTTGCAATTGTATCTCAATTATTGGTAGATTAAGCAAATGGGAATTTAGGAAAGAAATGATTCTACACACACACATACACATATATAATATATATATAAAACTTCAATCAAATATAGACTACATGATTTTCTTAAGAACTCAGGGCACACAGCCAGGCACAGTGGCTGATGCGTGTTGTTATAGTTTGAATGTGAGGTGTCCCCCCAAAGCTCACGTGTGAAAATGCTAGGAGGTTCAGAGAAAAAATTATTACTTTATGAAAGCCTTAACCCAATCAGTGAATTAATCACCTGATTAATTGAGTGGTAACTGAAGGAAGGTGGGGTGTGGCTAAAGGAGGTTGGGCACTGGGGATGGCTTTAGGGTTTAAAATTGTATCTGGCAAGTGGAGAT